TGCAGTGCTCCCGCTGGCGACCCCGCTGATTTAATTTGGAGACAGGCGGCATCGCATCATTATGGCTGATGCGATTACATTTATCAAATTTTTGCGCCTTGCGTTCGTCGATGTACATGTTGTCTATGTGCTTTTCTGAGCCGCACCTACGGCAAAGGTAGTTCAGGTATGAGAAATTGCTATAACCCACAATTTTACAGATGCGAAATGTGCGTACTTTTGATGTCTCAGTTGCGGTGACATCGTTCACTGCCTTGAGGCCGGTAATCGACTCGGGAGAATTCAAGCTGATTCCGCTTGCGTATGTGAGAGTTTTGGCATTAACTTCGTCAATAGATAGTGTCGAGATCCTTATTATCGAATATGTTTTTGTTGTTATCGTTGAGGCTGTACATTGAAGCATAATATAAGTACTTATCTCTCCCCTACACGGCGAGGCCTGGCTGAGCAGATGAGATTTCGTAACGTACAGTAAGCATCTTTGGTTGGACGTGGCAAGTTTGCGAGCTTGTCAAGTGCGGCCTTTAGTTGGGCGTGAGCAGCGTCCAGTTTCTCCTGAAGTGCGGTGATGCGGTCCTTACTAAAACCAGGATCGTGCGTTTGGAGTTTCCCCCGCAGAGAGGTCAAGCGGACAGTTGTGACGTTCAGTTCACGATCGATGGCCTGTTTGGCATCCTTCAGATAATTGAGATCAAACTCGAGGTCGATAGCATGTTAGATGCATAATAAGTGTATTTATTATCCCGCTACTGAGGGATAATGTACATATTTACAACTTGTGGTATCACTGTATGTATTGTAGATTGATTCTCTACTGGTATGAGACCTGTCAAGGTGTCGTTGTCGGTTCATATTTGGTGTCATAGTAAATTTTGAGGTGCCGAACAGAAGATGCTATGTGATTGTACAGTATCAAATACGGTTCTTCGTCTCAATCGAGGCCTTCATTCAGAAAGGCAGACGGCTTATGCAATTATGAGATTGCTGGGACTTCGTGGTGTATATTTTCAACAGTCTGTAGCCGACGAAAGTATCTGGTGCCACACAACACGAGACATGACTACCCTTCGTTACGTGGACGAGGTCCTACCAGCAGTCATCCCTGGCTCCTCCGACGCTGACTGGCTTTCCATCACACTGTCCTCTCACTCCCTGGTGAGTAACCTCGGCCCCGCTGAAAACGGTGTTCGATTTCGGGCAATACAAGCGGCTACCAGCGAGGTTTCTATTTTTGGGAAGCATACACCAACCGTATGGGTACCGCCTTTGGTATTCATCTAAAACCCCCCAAGCACACTCCCAGCTCCAACACCCACCATGGCGCATTCACAGGTCCTGAATTCATAGCCAGGTACCGAGTCTACTTGGAGTCCTTGGATTTACAGTTTGTATACAGCCAACATGACCGGTGTTGATATCGAAATGTACTCTGAACCATCTAACTGCGTTCAGCCAAGCATATATCTAGCAACACTCCGATGCGCTCATACGCGTGTTAATCTATACCTCGCAGGTGCATTTTACTTCGCCCTCACATACCGACCCGCGCGGCTCCTGATCAGACTGTGAATTCAGCCCGACTTTCTTATAGCGACTCGAACTGTGCATCACCTACTCACTAGAGAATTCCCACCGGCACTCTTGTTTCCTTCAATTTTACTTGAAAACCCTAAACCCTAAAAAGACTGTATCTTATCAGCTGAATATAGTACAGGATCAGAAACTACCCGCTCATTGAAATGTTATACATGCCCTCGGCTACGCTCTAACCCTTTCTACTAGACTACATATAGATCGTCACCAAGTTCGCAATGAGTACCGGCACTCTTTAGGGCTGAAAATATATCCACATCTGCAGTCACTACATTCGTGGCTGATCTCAAGTACATATCCACTGATGATTACCCCACAGATATCCTAATGAAGTCGCGCAACCATCCAAAACAGACTCAGTTCTGTGATTTCCAAACATATCAATCATCACTGATTTATACTCGAACAAATAGTTAAAATTCAAGGGGGGTCTTGGGAGAAAGCCCTGGTTTTCCTTCTTTAGCTGTAGAATTCAACTCCCGGTTTTCTCTACCTTCTCGTTTCTGGTTTGAACCAGCATCATAGTCTCCGAATCATTTCTAGCCCTAGAACAGTATTATAAATCACTAATTAGATTTACAATAAAAGGTCTCAAACGATCGAACAACGAGATTTAAGGTAACAAGGATCATGAATCGAAAACCAGAAGGGGTACCAAAGGTAAGCCAGAGATCTAAAACTCTAAACCCATGCACATCGAGATTGTCTGTTTACCTAGAATCAATCTTGGTTGAGAAGCTATATGCTCAGAAGGCAGATGATAACTTCGAGATCAGAGTTTTTTTACCAACTAAGAAACGACATTCATACTCAACAACCGCAATGACTCGTGGCAATGGTTCACAGATGGCTGAAGGTGTTGTATAATAGGCGCTGTTTGACTATGACAAGAATACCACATCAAGTGCACTGCGACCATTGGCTTTATTGATAAGTTAGCAAATCGCGCACAAGAAATAAGCTACAGAACTGTGGGAATTCTCGAAGTTACCAACAGATAAGATCGTTGATTTGTACTTGTCAGGGTGCAAACCCCTGGCCAGATACTTATTTCTAGAGAAGGGTGTACCACTAGAACAGCACTTGTCACCAATACACGAGCTGTTCAAGGAAACAGATATTATTGAGGTAGCAAAAGACGCCATCACAAAGCGATGTGCTTCACCAGACTGGCTCACGGAATGCACTTGCGTGGAGATACATATACTTTTCACCGGCATTCTGCGTCGCACTCCAGTTATATATATTCTATGAAGAGGTGGTTTGCAGACCTGCATGATAGAATATTGAATGTGCGGGTGCAATCAGAGTTTATGTAGCATCATAAATAAACTTGGCAAGCTCTACAAGCACACCGACCGAGTGAACCCAAATTCTTTCCAGATACTCAAAAATCTCACGTCACCAAGCGCTCGTGTACTACGAACAGCAAGCTGGGATAGACAAGAGAATTGAACATAAACCAAAACTATAATGTAGCAGTGCAAACCATTCTGGCATAGTGAAGGCATTCTATGATTGCATGGAAGTGAAATGAGGGCCGCCGCGTAGATCGGATGAGAGTAAACAGTGCCAAGCGCCTTTGATTTTCGAATCCTAATACTAAAGAGCCCCCACGCAGTCGCCCAAGAACTGACTCAGGAGGGGGTTCGGAACATATAGGGAGAAGTGGCTCACTCAGAAATTGTGGCCGACCAACAGAATCTAAGGGCACCGCTATTACATCACGGCCAACTATGTGTCCACCGTGTCCGTGCCCAGACTGTATAGAGAAGATTTCCACGCATGCGTTTAGCAAAGACCCTAAAAAGGAAGAAAGAAATCGGATGAAAGCTTTGGAATGTAAACTTGCGGTACAAAACAATCAAGAGAATACCAAATGTGAGGTAATTAGCCATCACCAACGGTAGCAAAGTCGAGGAGATAGGTCGATAACTTGAAAGCAATGGTCGACGGAATCTATCAGGATCAATATGGTAGACGTAGCAAATGTGAATGCAGAAGTTGAACCGTTGATTAAATAAAATCAAATGACATACTTACACGCCGCTTTGTTTGTTTCCGAACTCGCGAGATCAACGAATACACATAGATATACAAATCAATGACAATACCTAACGTGTATTGATATATTCAGGAGCACAACGCTCATGAACAGATCACAGTGTTATAGCTAACTTATTCTTAAATAGCTAACTTATCCCTACTAGTCAAAGCGAGTTATATACAACTTGCATAGACAGATGCTCGCGCATATGGGGCATTAAACAAGGCGGAAGAAAAACAGCTAATCGTTTTGAGGCACTCGACCTCCCTGACAGGAATGTATCAATCTTGTGCATATGAATGTAAAAACGAAAGGGGTACTTCACAACCTAGAATGATCCTAATTTTATATCAAACTAGATTTAACTGAGAAAAAAAATTCACCGGTTCAAAAGGCGTAAGGAGCAGACACACCTTCCCATTTTCATGGAGAACGGTCTCAGTACTTGCTAAAAGGCATCATTTGCCTCACAGCTACTGACAACACAATTTCAACGAGTTATGCCAAGCTTGCTCATATATATGGAAGTGGTACAAGGGTATGTACATAACATGTCCATAGCGAGTCTCGCGGAGGAAGAGTACCACAGTATTGTACGGGAAAATTCCGGTTAAACAACTTGAAGTGCGCTTTCCCAATCAAGACAGTCAACATTCTGAGGTTGAGAGTCCCTACCTAAGGACTCAAAACAGGTTCTGGAAAACAGAAATATACGGTAAAACATATATATATAAACAAGCATATACATATACATATATTTATAAATGTGTATATTTATGTATATATTTATATAT